CTATCGGATACCTTAAGGCTGGGGCTAATTTTTTTCTTAGTTCTAGACAGACCTCTTAAGTCTAAGATATTTAGGATAGCTTCGATTACATTCTCCCCCCTATTCTTTTAATCTTCCGCCCTTACATACCTCCATAATCCCAATCACCGTCATCTGTAATTGGCCTTTTAATAACAACAGCAATAATAATAACAGCAAAAACCTACTTCCAGTGATAAATAACTGAGCCGACGTAGAGAGAAACCTCTGTTTCTTCACCAGGATCCTCTTTGATCCCTCCATGATACGGGCAATCCGATTGGTCTTGGTGACTAATGCAGCGTAGATGGCAGTAAACGCGAGCCCGGGTAGGGTACGTTGAAGGGCGCAGGTGATGGCGGAGGGACGAAACAGGACGAGGACAGTGAAGGCGTGGGCCAAAAGCATAGCGGCAAGGATGAGCCACATTAATTCTCGGGTGGATGCCTTCACTACAGCGGTATTACGATAAACAATGAAGACGACGAGGATGAGGATGGTAAGGAGACCACCGAGACTGGCAAATATGATGGCTGTGAGGCAGCTGGCGTCATTCCAATGAGGGTACTTTGGATTAATGGGCTCGCAGGCTGAAGTGGAAGAAGCGACAGAAACTCGCATTGCTTTAAGCTTCGACAAATACGAATAGTTTTCACGTCAATCCATTTCACGGGTTTTAAACACCAATGCCATCGATTCAACAGTCTCTAGAAGGCTTCCGCAAAACACCCTGGAACAGCGGGATTAACTTCTTCACCCACCTTTTCCATACCGTTTGAAAGAGGAAGTCTTGTATGTGCTAAACTGTTAGAATTTTAAGTGCTATTAAATAATTTTATTCACGGTTCTTGGTAAAGGACTTGTTTCTTGCAAGTCACGTATTCGGATTCAGAAGTTTCACTTGGTAACAATTTGGCAACAAGAGTGAGTGTTGTGGGCAGGAAACGTAACCTTCATTAACAGCTTTGAGGCGTCCTGCTGCTGAAAAAATTGCATGCGGTACCGGGCAGTACCAAAATTGAACGTCACATTGAATTACGGCCTGCGCACAACGTATGGCTCTTCTACTAATGGGGACTAATTGCCTGCCACTGCGTGGGATATCACCGTGGCAGCACCATTTTTAGAGACCGATAAGCACAGGCCCAGGTTTGACTTTAGTGATTTAGCCATGGAAAGAACCCGTTGAAAGTTAGAACCCATCAAGGTCCAGTCCAGAAAAGTAATGTTTAAATTCGAGTGAAAATAATTTGAATGTAGTTAATAAGGGGCGAAATCTCGCTGATGTCCGTTTCTTCATGATAAAATTAAATCCTTTTAAGGGGCTCTACCTTTCTGCCTTGGTCAAAACATGGACAAGGGTTTGGCCTTCTTGGCGGCGTAGGGATTCGATCTGCAGTTTCATGCAAGGATGCCATTGGGTAGGATCGGAGCCGCCTAATTCTTTTGGATTGCACATTTTTGTATTTCCATCTTAGTCACATCGCTAAATTCGACTTTGAGAACTGTTGCCCGACAGTTCAACCACGAACGAAATGCTCTGAAATTCTGTTTTTTTGAAAAACAAATCTTAAAATTAACGTTAGACAGGGTTTAGGATCTTTTGGACACTCCGAGCTCTACATATGCTGTTACTGCTTAAGATACAGAAAAAGGGTTTTTCAATTATGAGTATAAGAACTACTACTATTTAATAGTTTAAACGAAACTAATACACTCAATTAGAAAGAAAAGTTGTCGAAAACATTTAATAATTTTTAAGCATTGCAGAATTGTTTGCTCAAGATTTTGTCGCTGAATAGTTTCAAACATTTGCCATTTCAGCTCGTTACAAAAAAGATAGTGTGCACAGCCTTAGGGAAAATACTTTGATAGCATACTAAGGCAAAAGGTCAAAGGTCAGCTATGAAACGGTCTTCGGTACGGTATCTAAAAATACGACCTGAAGCTGCTCGTCTTGTTTAAAATTCCTCAAGTTTTCGCCCTTTTGGTACATAATTTAAATGGCTTAAAGAGACAATTTAAGGATCTTTCGACTTTGTCTGAGAATTTTAACTTCGGGGAAATCTTGGAGCTTTCATTCAAAGTGGAAGGAACAATTTTCGCACTGTAAAAGTTTTTTTTGTTTTCCTAAAAACATAACATGTTGGAGACAGTACAAGGCTTTTTATTTTAAAATATGCTGCAATACATGAAGTCCAAAGTAGCCCTGATATTATTTTTGATTGTGCTAGTTTCTCCTAACTAGTGGCTTCCCAGTTTTCAAAAAGGTGACACTTGAAATAATAAAACACGTCTAGTAAAACTTTGTTTACTTTAATACTTCATTTTAGTTACGAACCCAACTAAGGCCATTACTGAGCCATGCCAATGGCCCCCCATCCCTTTAGCCCGTCAGCAATGCATTTTTCGCCCTAGTATTGTCTTTTTCAGACTTTAGGAAATACTCGGGACGCCGAAGCAAACTCGATCCTATGGAATAACTACCCTGATTTCTATTACTGAATGCTAACTATTTATGTGATGGAGGAAGGGCGCATGCTGTGGATGAGAGGATCTGTGAGAATTCTTGACAAAAGGGTTGAAAATGACGTCTATGTTTGGAAACTACTCCAGTCTCGTGTTCTGCAGAAATGGTCTTAACTACTGAAGCGACACCAGCGAGATGTCTACCGTACCTACTTGAAGATAACAATGCAGTGAACACGCGATACCTCCGCCTCTCTGCTAGTCGGGTAGAACCCAGACAGATGTGACTGAGCAGCACTGAAGTGAGAACTAAGTGACAAAGAGGAATGGACGCGAAATTTTTATTTCTGCAAAAGCATTTTGAAATCTTTTGTTAAGCGGTTTTGCGTTTAGACCAGTGATCTTACAACTGGTGATGGACATAAGTGATAGCCAGCACATTCTCCAGAACGAGACATCCACAATTATGAAAATAAGGACCTTCATTTATTGATAATTTAATCTAAATTCATGCACTCAATGAAAAATAAAAGTAACATAAACTATTAAGCCCGGATCCGTCTTGGCTTATCAATGCGGTCTTACCATATCGCCAAATAAAATACCTTCTAATCTCGCATGGCATTCACTCGATTTGGCACTTGTCTTAATATGTAATTATCTACGGGGACTTTTCTGTTTCTGAGGCTTATTCTTTCGTCTTATGACCTCATTTGTGACCTCCCAGCTTTTCCGCATACGAACAGTAAACCATTCGGGAATACTTGAGGAGTTGCATTTGTGGCAGCAGTAAGCAAAAGATATGGAAGAAGGCCCCTTCTGAGGAAGGTCGAACCTGCTTCTGACAAATCCCGTGTTTGGGATTTCACACGATAAGCAGTGGTGGAGGGAGATCCAATTCGAAGCATCGTAGCTGACCATAAATCCACGTTTATGGGCTGGGAGCAGGGTAATCCCCTTCAAAGTGCTGCTTTTGGCAAACATTACCACAAAAAGTGACTTGTGCACAGCATATCTTGCTGTTTAACGCCGTTCAGTCTCTAACACGATCTCTAAGGTGGAGTTTTTCTTGATGCAGTTTGGCTTTTATAAGACACCGAATTCGGTAGATCCAGTCTGATTTACAGCATGTATCACCACTAGTTGGTAGCATCCTCTCTAAATTGAGAATGTCTCGTTTCATTTTTGAATCTGCAGCGCAGTTAGCCAAACTTCACACGGGAACTCGTTATATTCGAATCAGAAGGGTGGCAAGAGGAAGCGCCGAGAACGACATTTCAAAGAAGAAAGTGAGCTTGTCAAGATTTGACAGTTGTTCTTACCGCACGAGCTTTTCAATCCTCCTTTACGCTAATATAGTAAACAATTCATCTTTGCTAGTATTACTTATTACGGAATCAGAAGAGATCCGGGGCACCACAGCGAGGCAGTTCCACGCCGTTCATCTTAAATAACCTTCTGGTGTTCTAGCGTTTGTCGTGCTCACAAAATTGGCTGCTAGAATTCAAGATTTTTAGGGATGACTCAAAAGCAGCTAAATTCTAGGTTGACCATTTGCGAGTGAATATGAATTGTAACCTGACCAAGCAATTTTAAGGAGTTACAATCCTCTATTCATTAGTTCCTTTCAAGGACCCTTTAAAATGTCCATTGGCATGACAAAGATGCATCCAATGTCCCCCATAAAATTTAATAATATCTAGTAATAAACCAGAGAGGAAAGCAGACGGACTTATTTAGACAATCTCTGAACTGCATATCAAGGTAGCATTGGTGGTAAGTTTAACTTGGCGGACAGGAATCGGCACAGGTTGCGAGATAGACGCCTGCCTACGTGGAAGAATTATCTTATTTTTACCAGACTCAACATTCTCATTCATAATTGCACCAAACTTGAATGTTTTACAAACAAATAAAACTAGTCCACCCTACATCATGACATTCCTATGCGAGTTAGACTGGAATTTAGTTTCCAGTTTGAGGGTTGACAGGACTTGCACCTTCCTTAACGCTTAGTTAAGCCTTCAAAATTGAGCTTCAAAGGTGATGTTGGAAAACTACAAAAAGAGCAGGAAACGAGTGGTAGAAAGGTAATGGTGCTACTTTCTGGATCAGATAACTAGAAGCCGTTGGGACGAGTGCTTCGTAGACGTTTCGTATTTGATGTTGCTTTGGATAAGCCGTTTGTTTCAATAACATCCAAAGGAAATTCTTTGAAAGTATTTGTTGCTCATTTGGGTAGTGTTTCTACAACCAAATTTTGTGATTCAGAGGAAGATGACAAAGTTGTCACCTCTAACCACTATCGCGGATACCCACATTACCGAAAGCAAAACTTTCAGACTCATCCTTAAAAGAAAAAAACAGAAATTAATCCTCACGTATTTCCAAGGGACCCCCTCTTGACACCAAAGAAAAATGCAGAACCAAGCGTAGCCAAATAGGCTCACTCCACCTTCTTAATAAAAGTCAAAATGACAGAAGCATGATTCTTTAATTTTCTTTTCCAAAGAAATGGCCCATTATGACCTTTGATCCCCTTTAATGGGTCACTAATTTGCTCATTCCACAATCACGAGCCATTTTTGGCTTTACAATTAATGAAGCCAGCCATAACCATCTTTATTTCTACCCTAATGTCTTAACGGAATTCTCCTTGCCATCTCGATTGTGAATGTGTGAGGTAGAGAAAAAATGATGGCCATCACTTAAAGGGATGGCGCGGAGAGAATATGAAGGTGCTGATGGAGCACTACCCCTCACAGTGGCATTCTGAGTGCTGTATGAGGACTTCCCACGAGGATGTTGCATTGCCTTATGATGTCAGGGTGACGTTCCGAAGAGAAAGGCTTTTTGCACGCCCTTGAGTTTTTAGGAGTAGATAGGCTTCAACTCTGGTGGCAGACAATTTCTAATGGAACATTTTGTCCAATACACAAGAAAGGCATTAATTGCTGGTTATAAGGTGGAGTGAGTGGTGTACCTTCCGGGGACAGCCAATGATATGTTCGTTCGCCTAACAAACATTGGAATGTAAAAGGTACTTCTCATTAAAAGTCAATAAGCGGTTTTACCATGTAGGCAAAAGAGGTGAAGAGCAGTATCATGACTTTTAAAATCTTTTCTTTTATTTGGTGATGCATGCAAAACTCAGCTGCTCAGCTTCCACCACGATTTGCATTAGTTGAGGGGTAACTAAGACTTGCTTTTGCATCAACAATATTAGCCATTACTAAAAAGGTCAGAAAAGTCTCAAATTGTTTTCATAAATAAAGACATGCAATTCCTCATTATTAAGGGTCAAGGGTTCTGCCAGAATTCATGCATCACCGCCTGGCGATTTAGAATCAGAAGGAAACAGTAGCTTCTGCTACCGCACCTTCCCCAAATGTGCTGCTTTTGCAGAAATACTCACAATTTTGGAACAGGGCCTGATTTTGTTAAGCAGAAAAACTCGAATCGCATTTAGTAAATGCAACCAACGCTCTATAATACAAGCATTCAAAATAAAGGGGATTTATTTGGAGGGACATTAAAGATTGCTGCATTGGTGGACTGAGCATTCTATCCGTGCTTTATGGAGCATGCGTAGAAGAAAATCGTCTGTTTATTTATGAAATCCTACAAGTCAGTGCACTAATATCATAAAACAACACGAAAGCCTTTGGGCGCCTGATAATTAGTTGGAACATCGCAATTCGACTTCACTGAGCACAACAGGGTCCTTACGTATACATTACGTTCACGAGTGCCCTCAAAGAAGTGAGTTCAAAACGCACGGGTAAAGTTTATAAATCTACTCCTCCTTCGTCGCATTAAATACTTACCGATTTTTCGTTGGGTTATTTAAAAACTGGAAATTTTAACCCTAGAAGGACAGATAGAAGGGTGCACAATTGTTGGTGGGACAGGTATGGATTCTGTCGAGTTGAAATGCAATAACACCTCCAGGGAAGACGGATCAGTTAAGCATCCTCCCTCTTATGGTAGCTTATTTGATTTATACCGAGGACATTCAGTTCGTCCGTGATTTGGTATTTAAAGCTGTGCAAAAGCAGGTGAATGGGAAGGGACCATCAATTCTAAAATTCTTTCCAATCTTCTCCAAATTAAAGTATAGGCTCGAAGACGAACGAAAATTCGGAGATATGAATATTTTCAGGAAAAGATAGCAAATTCTAATCAAAAAAAGAAAAATGGAAAACCTATTCATAAGAATAGCGCTAGTTTAGTCTACTGCCGATGATTCCGTCCAGCTCCAAGTCTTTTTGTGCCAAGATTTTGTCATTGCAAAGGAATTTGCATTAGTCAAAGGAGTGCTACCAATCCTACGTCTTCAGTGTAAGTTACCCTTTTCTTGCAGCCATTTGGACATTTTCCGTGACATTTTAGTGAAGAGTCTTGATGCAAGTATCTTCTTTTATACAAATTGAAGTGTCTAACACTAAGGTAAATTAATAGTTTGGATGGCGAAATCAGTTTCATGTGGACATCACGAGTCTGCGCCGCATAAGCCTTTGCACGGACCTCTACCCTATCGCTCACTCATTTAGTATATGCAGTGGAATCTAATTTCTTGCTCATTTTTTAGTCACTGCCATTGGATTGCGGTAAAACTGGAGTTTTATTTGGGTATATTTCGATAGTTCACTAATTTCCAAAGCAGAGATGCTAACAGAGGGTAGATGTTTATGTAACTCTTGGGAAATTTTAAAAGTGGTAGGATTTCCCTGTGAAGTAAGTAAAAAGCGCAATTTGAGCCGTTTTGGGGAGAGGCCTACTACTTTATTTGAGGAGGTAAAAGTAGACGAAAATGTATTTCCCACCACTTTGTTTCATTAAAGCCTCATAGTGAAATGGCTCTATTTCGCTAAAATAAAGCAATATCTCAAAAACTTAGGGTAAAATTTGTTGCAAACTTTCCCATTATGAACATTTTGCCTTCCAACAGGTGATTTTGAACAGCCTAACACGTCTACTCCAAGTGTCAAATATGCATGAGGCCATGATTTCTTGGCTGAATCCCACATCGCAAGTGTATGACGTATTCCAAACCGGTAGGTTTGACAGAAAGTCAATGACCTTTGGTGGCCTTGAACAGTGAAACGCCTTGGCTGTGTTTTGCGGATCCCCTTCCGCGGCAGACCTCCAAAAGGAATGCATCCATTTAAATTCGCCACATATATACTGCACCTGAGCAAGACTTTATCCCAAATAAGATTTGCAAAGAAGCGCAGGTCTATTCAATGCAATCGTAGGTCATAGGGATCTGTTTTATAAGAAAGCAGCTTTAACAACCCATGTTCTTTAATTTAGAAGAAGCGTTTAAAAATGCGAAACGTTAAACTATTTAATCCAAAAAAGTATAACCTCCTAATTGGTTTTTAGTAGAATCAAAGTAAAAGGGGTGCAAACTTCAGATTTTGGGCTTTAAATAGGTTACACTACTCCGGAGAATCAACGCCCAATTTTAATTACGTTGCAGCACATGTTTTTGTCATGAATAAATTACAAGTAGAGTATTTATGGAATATATTATCATTGTTGGTCATTAACGTGCATGTGCTGGATAAACAACCATGAAAAGCGCTACTGTTTTGTCTTGCCCTTAGTTTATTTTTGATGGTGTTGGTGGGTTGTTGTATTCGCGAGAATTTCATAAACACACGACTTTTGCAAGTGTGTCAAAACACATCCTTTAAAAGTTGTTACATTGGTTCTTATCTAAAATGTTGCGAAAAAGGAAATTGGCGATATGGTAAAACAGCAGGAACCAATCATATTTCTTCTTTGGGGGAAATAAAATCGACACAAATTCCTAAAAAGTATTCATCATCACTCACCAGTTTTATTTTTAGACGGTTTGAAGCCCAAATCGCACGGTTGACAGGTCTCATTTCCTGTCTTCCATTCGTTTGGCTTGCACGGCTGACATATCCAACAACACGTCTTTGATTTGTCCTTTATTATCTACAGAATATTTAATCCAACAAGTTATACTTTGACTAGATTGAGCTATTAATTAATCATGTCATTTGATGCACTTAAAAAAGGGCATCTAGTAATTGATGGAAAAACATCTTTGACATTTCAGTCATTAAAATTCCTGAATTGTCTTAACAGTTAAACCTCACTGCTGCATTTAAGTCCGCGTCAAGCTGGTCAAATATCAAACTTTTGCTAGAATGGGCATTTTGGGGTGAATTAAGGGACGCTTTATTTTAAAACGCTTTTCGATGTCTGGGATGGTGATCTGAGTCTACGGCGAGAGGGAAGGGGGAGGGAGGGAGTGCATAAAATAGCCAATTCCAAAGACAGTACATCGGGAACTTGATGACCCTGCTTGTGGTTATACACAAGAACCCACAAGAGGGAAGCAAATGGACAGGATTAATAATACCATTTTAGGAAGGAGAGGTGCGTTGGGAGAATTTTGCAGTAGTTCGACACTTAGTAATTGGTGCACTCTCAGCAGAGAAAATAATGGGTCTTTTCGAATGGAGTGATTGCCTATTAGGGATGAACTTATGGAAAATCTCTTGTTATCTACATTAAAAGAACACTTAAGAACAAATTTTACTATCGCCTAAATTGATTACGATAAATTGACTATGATATATCATTTATTATAGTATAGAAGAGTAAGCAGGCATTTTTCAAAAATAATATGAGTGCTTAATAATTAAAAAATATTATTGCGTTCTGTTTTTAAAAAAAATTTTAGATAATAGACTTGAAGTGAGATTCTCTTTGAAGCCTTACATGCGGGCCTAAATCCCAACTTTCGTGTTTTATTGGTTGACTGTATATAACACCCCTTACTAGCCAATCATAAGCCGAATTATCGCAAGAAACTGGGGGGAGCGAGCATAAAAAGTGTGCTCACAAACAACTTTTGATATTGTTGATCAAAACAAATGTTGGCTCAGTGAATACGAGCACAAGGCTCTGATGAAACAGAAGAAGGAAAAATTAGTCAAAGAAGCGCCTGTTCAACTTTGCTCATATTGCGAGTGTTAAATCAGTCTTGTTCTAACTGACAAAGAGCACAAGGTATCTTTTTATATCCTCTTTACTGAAAGTATAAACGGCGTACTTTGAAAAAGAAACTTAATTGGGCGGCTTTGTTTACTTAAATGCTTCCCCTAAGAGTTGCGCAAACCTTCGAAGAATTGTGTCAAACGGAAGTGACAGATTTGAGAGCAGAAAAAACCGGCAGCATTTTGCTTTGAAGTACATCATTGTTACTTGATTCTTACTGGAAAATTACAAGTGGATTGGAGTTGCGAACCTCTTTTTCATTTGAATAGTGTGCCATCAACAGGAATATAAGCTGGCAAATTATGTACTTAGGAGTTCTGAATACCTTAAAATCTTTTCCTGTAGCACAGACCTCCGTACTCATTCAATCACCGCTCGTCACAGCAAAATACACTTGTACCAGGGTGCACAGTTTTTTGGATAGGGGGATGAAGCTCACGTACCACAGGGAGAAAATGGAAGACCACCGGAAATAGCATATGAGGAGATCACCTATGAGAAGGCGCAATGCAAAGCATTTCTGTTTAGATACGTCTTCTAGGCAGGAGGCGATTTGAAAACAAGAATCTCGTTACGGAACAGATGACGTCTACTCTGGAAAAGGAGGTGTACATTAGAAAAAGCCCAATCCTGATTACTGTGGCCCGTTCATAATATCATCAAAAGGGGATAGTGACCATACCTCATGAATCCACTGGTCAATTTTAAGTCTGTTGAGGCCAAAATAAATAATCAGTTTCTTTCAAACAAATCTCTTTCAAGAATTTCTTCTTTTAAGTCCACTTCGTTCTGAAAATACGAAGATCATAACAATGTAAAACAGCCGTGCGCTGACCTTTCAAGGATAGGTGAGGATTAGAGTCGCTAAATAACAAAATGAAAAAATTGAGTCAAAAGTTGGAGACAGTCTATGCCTAGGAAAAAATATTACATTGCCTACTGATACAACTTCTCTTCCAGAATTTTGGCAAATAGCCAGGATTGAAATGACACTCTTAGTCAAGAAGAGGTGAATTTGGACCCTTTTTTCGATGCTAATCAGCTAATCTGCTGGTCGCTTACAAAAAAGCGGCTCGGTGTGTTAAAACATGAGCCCGTCCCAGTGTAACCAAATGTTCCAGTGCAGAAGGCTTCCTCGCCCAGTAAGACGAGAACTTGCTCCAAAATTTACTTTTTATGCAACACTATTTCTCTGAGCATAAAAACGCTGTCCAAGCCACACTCTTTTCCACTACACTTTCGTTTCTTCATTGTCCATTCTACCGAGTGTTAAACAGGTGGTAATACTTGGGAATAGACTATCAAGGGAATATGAAGGATAGGGAAGGGAGCAAGGCATTAACTCCCTCTATTTCATCCGAAAGTTCGAATCTAAAGGATAAGCAATTCAGCGATGCAAGATCTTGTAGTTGTGTAAGAATCAGAAGAAAACTTTCATTAATCTGATTGACAACGGCTATGCCTGAGTGGTTTCCAGATGCCAAATGGGTATGTCTGGATTATTTCTACGTGGTACGTCCTGCTGACACGAGCCAATTCCTCTATTAACGCTATGCAGGAAGTCATATGAAAAAATTTCCAGCTATTGAGGCAGTTTTCATTCCTAAAGCAAATAATCTCAAACAACATTCGTCAGGCTTTGCAGAATTTTCATACACTGAGGGATTAATGAAAGGTGAAGGTGGTGAGAGAGACAACATAGCATCATACTGATAAACTGGCACATTTCATTCCTACTTTATAGTGCTTGCATAGCAAAATATGCATGTATTCAACGAGTCTCTACCAGTCAGAGCAAGTCATTGCCAAGAGCTTTACCAAAAACTTTGCGAACTTTCTGATCAAACGATGGCACAAAAAATAGTTGAAGTCAGTCGAATATTCAAGTCACTTGTTTCAAATTACTGGAATAAGTTAGCTTAGTCTAAATTTCTATCCGTATAATATAGGACTAATCTGGTTACTGCTGACTGCAATAGATACCGAATGCGATATCGACGGTTGAAATGTTATCAAATAATGTCTCTTTACATTATTTGATTTAAAACCATTTACATCCTTAAGATTTGCTTTTAAACATTTCTTCATTTTTGCCCCCTATTTACTTACGTTCAGATAAGCGTAAGTTTATAAACAAATAATCTACTTTTCAGGAGGAAGATACTCAAGTGTTCCTATTTTACATCCAAACGGGAAGGTCGGGTAATTACAAATGATTCAAACGAGTAAGGATTTTTTTGATAGAAAAGTATCTACCTTAGCTTCCCATGCACCACAGGGCTCACTGCAAAACGACCGAACCGGACCTGAAGCTGTTGCATTCGGCGAATCACCCTGCCACTGAATAAATTCCTCTTGAAGCGTTATTAATTGGCCATGTTTCCATCGGCCAACCTGGACGTAGTCAAACACCTCCTCGCCACGTTCATTAAAGGTGTGCTGATAATTCATTAAATCGTAACTGAAATATGCACAGGTAATTTATCAACAATACAATCTACAATAAAGCTGGTTAAATTAGATTCTAATTACCTTCCAGGTGGGTCACCATTTTCGTCAAAAAAGATCGTATCACCGTTGCTGTCAGTGTAGTTGGATTTCAGTAATTCTTGACGCAAAAGGCTCCCATTCACAGGTAGCAAACCAGGACAGATTCCCGGACGTCCAACACCACACACTATCTCCTGAACTCGATGCAGCGCAATGGCTACCACGTAAATGGCCAGATTTAGGAGGGACAGTTTGTTGTCCTGATACATAGGCACATTCTTTAAGCTTTCCTCACCTAAAAAATTAATTTTTTTAAATGAAAATAGTCTAATTTTAGATTTAATGAGGTATTGTTCGGTATTTTGAAGGCCTTAACGAAAATCGTGGCATTTCTAACTTTCAGACATTACTGAGACCACACCCTTGAAATCAATATCAGCCTAAATAACGGGCCATGAGTACGCCTCATGACCCCATTTACCAATAATCAATACACCTTCAGAGCAGAGCACAATTCACAGGGTCAATAAAACTTTATTTTTGACTTGAAAATGATATGCCATGTTATTTCACGAGTGATAACAAATTGCAATAATTAATTTCGGCTTGGTCAGACGTGGACTGAAGGTTACTTTACAACAAGCCTTATCTAGTAACAGCACATGGGATAAATACCAAAGTGTGTGGGTAAGTTAGTTGCGGTTAGTTTCACTAGAAAAGTGGACCAACCAGTGCAGGGCTTGCGCAAATTGTCCGACGAAGGCGTGATTGCGCAATCGAATTTCTGTTCCCAAAATTCCGTGAACCAGGGGCTAATGTTATGATGCGTTTGTGGCGTCAGGTTGGTAAAGTATTCATCAAAATCCTCCACTTTGGGGGAGTGAATTTTGATGGAGAGACTGCCTTGAGCCAGACGACTGAATGCTCGTTCTCCGGTCTTGGGGTCGACCAGGGGTCCAAGTATGTCCTGCCGATCCGACCACCCATCACTTACGAAAGAAATGGACAAAAAAGGGGGATCTGCAATTGTCTGCTCTACAGCGTCAGTGTTTGTATCATCCATTAATTTGCAATTCTAATAGATGTACCATGACAACAATTAGGACTCTGTTACAGGTCTTTATAATGTCGATGAAGGAATAAGTACGCAAGGGAAATGACAAAAATGTCATCACTGTGCGGCAATGGCCAACCCTTCTGTCTTTGAAGTTAAGATAAATAAAGGTCGGGAGAGAAGGAATAAAATATCATGCTTTGGCTGGAAGAGCTCTAATTTTTTTGAGCAAAACCATTAGGACATTACCATTGAGAATTTTTACGACCTTAAAATTTTAAAATTGAACGATGACACTTGTCGTAGGAAGCGATGGGAATATTAGAACGCACAGGCTTGCTTGTCTTCCGATTTGAGCAAGCTGTTTTGGCAGGAGATATACTTCTGTTACAGTTTTTAAATTCCAGTCATAGTCAAGTTTAGAAGTAGCATTAGAAAAATTTTTTAAATATTATCCAACTTTCCCTCACGTACAGCTTATCACTCATGGTTAAGGTGCCCAGAAGCAGTAAAAAATTTCTCAGTTTTGCCTCATGATTTTGACAGGAGCTGGTAAAAGTACCAAAACAACCGAATTTGACTAGAATATTTACCGATTCAATTTTTGATACTTTTGTTTTGGGATTGCTAATTTTTGCTATATACACATATTTTGAAGAACCAGGAGAGTAAAAACTACTATTTGCCCCTACTTTTATTCTTAAAATTAAAACTACTTCAATTTGATTGACTCCTGTTTAATTAAAAAATAGTTTCAGATCTCGTTGACTTTGTTTAACATGATGTTCGCCGATTGAAAAGGTTTGATTAAAAGGCGCAAAGTGTGTCTGCCCAATTCCAACCATTTCTCCCTTCTTTTAAAGCTCGGAAGTTGGATCTGATGTTTATTTCTAACTTGACTGCAATATAGGCCAACCCCTTATCTTTTTGACTTCCTAACAACATAATTTATAAAGCAAATGAATGGTACCTCCAAGTAAAATTGAATGTCGTAAATTGTAGGGAAGAATGGCAAGTGTTTCATAGAAAAACACACCAATCAGACAGACAGCGACGTAATCTTAACGATAAACCGGTCATACCAAGACTGGGATCATGAAAGGAGATAAAAAGAAACAAGGAATTTCGCAGGAGTCATCAAATGTAAATAACGGATGCCAATTTTTGTTTGAAAAACAGTACAAAATTCCCCTTTTTTATAATCCCATCTCCCACAACTAGTGCCTTTTTATTGGGTTTCTGAGTTTTATAAACTTTACGACACTTAAGCGACAAAATCCGAATTTTCCGATGGGGTAATGTGGAGGCAAACTTCAAATCACGAGCTGAGTTTACCCAGAATTAAACAGATTGTGTCGTGGATTACTGTCACATCTTCGGTTTCTTTATTCGGTGAGATAAAAAGAATTTCCGCTCTCTTATATCAAGACAAACTTATTTATTTATCCTGTTCAAAAGTTGTTGTTGAGACAGCATTATGTGGGCTATGGCAAGGAATACGTGATTTGGCAATATATCTAACTACCCTAGAACTTTAGCCCCTAAGGTTAATGCATCATCTTGATGACGCAGAGTCCCACATCGGAGCATCGTGGAAGGCAGACATTTGCTGTGAAGACTCAAGGGCTGAGGCCTAGCCAAATCTCCCTGACGTTTGGCACTTTTCCTTAATCTGGGGTTCTAATCACCAGCCTGTATCCAAGCAAGAGGAAATCAAAAAAATATTAAAACACCTAGTAATGAGTTCCTTGTAACTTTTGCTGCAGATACAGTTATTTATTTCCTCATTTTAAAGGCGTGCGATTCTTATTCCTTCAGTTGCGATTTGGTAACTGTTTCCGCAAAAATGGATGAGTGAATTAACTTCCTGACGCAATCTTTGTCTACACCTGATGAGATATTCAGCAGACCTGGCCTGGTTATTGGTAGGTGCTCTCGTTCGTGATGTGGGCGGCCATCTCCTTGTAGGATAAAGTGGTCCATTTAGTTTCTTTTTCATCTCAATCGGTATAAAATCATGTAAATACTAGCGACAATTGAAGCACATGGTAAAGTCATGGTGTTTCGTCCATGTCAATGGCTATCCCAGCCATTTCATAAATTGGTGATAAACCTTCTCCACACTGATACACCACTTTTTATTGCCATTTCTGATATAAGATAGAAGTTACTCAAATTTCCCCCCTTCATATATTTTTCACCTCTTGAGACCCCAGAAGTGTAGATGGACTATGTCGTACCACCCAGAAAGAATTTGATTCGATGGTCATGTATCACTCAAATATGCAGGAGGTGTGAGAAGATCCTCCAATGTAGGGAAATAAAAGCTCAGGTGTGGCTATTGATAAGTTGCTTGGAGTAATAATCCCCACCTTTTCATTAGACTAGACTGTTGAAAAATAAGTAAGATAGTAAAAGAAGGTACTCGAGGCTAAATTAGTTTCAACTACTTCACTTGGAATTACCTTAGCTGCCTTTTAACCCATTAAAGTGTAGTTTATCACTTCGGTACAAAATAGTATCTTAGTTTGAAACATTTGACAGTTGGATTTCTGGCTGCAGAAGAGGCATACGGACGGAAACTTAAAAACTCAACAGCCTTTTAATCTTCTTACCGAACGCATGATATTTAGGTAAAATTAACATTTGCCATTTATTTGTTAGGAAAGCTCTTTTTCCTGTCATCACCAAAAAATTCATCTTCGTTAGGGAAAAGATAAGTAGTTTTCAATAAACTTTTCTCAAACTAAACATTGGGTATTCAAAGTGTTTTAGGGAATTAAGATGGCAGATTTATAGCACAAAAGAATTTTTAAATGTAATGATTCTATCATTAAAATACGTTTCACTTTTCATTTGGAAATGCCCTTGGCAAGGGGTTTGCATAAAGCCCAATTTTTCTCCTCCAAGGTGAGGCATCTTACTAACAAAATGACTTTTAGTGCCCTGTGTTGAGTTACCAACAAGGAAGATGGCAAATTGTCATGTCTTATTCTTGGCATTTTGGCCTCCATTCATACTGCTCCTCCTTCCTGATTTCTAAAGTTCGGTCAGTACTGCCGACTGTTCCACAAAGGTTCAGCTGTACTGATGAGTCCTTACAGAAAATATCTAAAGCCAATCCTGATATGCGTGTGAATGGAGCAGGGGACTTTGACAAATTAAATGCCCTTTCCAATTCATGAGGATGGGGATAGTCGCAGTTAGACCTGAACGCTCCATCTTCCCTCCTCCTCAGGTGGCTCTATTACATGACGTGTTTCGGGTGTCTTTGGAATAATGCATTCAACACGAACATACACAACCGAAATGCCACAATTATGCTGATGACGCCTATCACAAAGAAGAATTTTTGTCCCCTCAATGAAGGTACCAATTTCTCAAAAAGCTGACCCATTCTGTGGATAAAATTGGAGCACATTCAATCTAAGGAAAAAACTTTCGCATTACAAATTTTGACACTTACGCTCCGATGAGCATGTAGCCCTTCCCCTGCAGATGTAAGGTGTCCATGGCTTTCAGCAAACCAGCCACCGTTTCGCCTTGGCAAAAGCACACCACAACTTTGGCCTTTCGGTCGGGGTTAAAGATGTCCTGCGCTAACTCGAGAAAAGCTTCCTCTGTCTCCTTGTTGTCGATGCTCCTCTCCGTCTCAGAGCAAATTCCGATTTCATCCATACGATACCTCAGTGCGGCTATGCCTCGATCACCGTAGAATCCTGCAAAAAATGTTCAGTTTTCAATTAGATTTTGTTCGTCCTTCTTAAAGCATATTCGTCTAAAGCTAACATTTGACAGTTCAGTCATTCCCCATCACAAGCCAGCTAGTAAAGCCATTTCAAATTCCTTGTAAGGAACATACTGTTTGTTTTTCTAAATTTGTTGTCACTTTGGCTAGTCTTTAACCACAATTTCTGCATTCCAACTGATAAAGTTTCAAGCCAAATGTTCTTTATACTTAAGTCCCAAATCCTTAATGATCGGAAGAGGAGGATCTTCTTAAACTCGATCTACCTTTCTTTGATTTGGTGCCACTGGAATCGTATCCTTTGAACCAGGTCTGGACAGTACGCTCTGGTATCGCGTGACACAACTCCTCTTAATAATATACATGAGTTGAATCGAGGGCTGTCTGTAGCCTCGGATCCAAAGCAAACTCTCTTCCTAGAGTATAAACACAGGAAGCACATCCCTTAGACCTAACCAGCACTTCACGACATGAGGACTCCAAATAAGGAGGAAGTGATGAGGAACATAAAGAATGGTCCCTACGAGCTAGATAAAGTCACCATGGCAACCGGTGCCAACTGCTGCACAATTTTTTTGGCGCCTAGAAGACATTTTCAGTCTTCTAGGAGTAGCAATGAAGGCCGCCTACGTTGTCGATTTGCCTTCATGGTGAATAGTCATTTGGACGCCTGTTCCTCACGGCAGTGTCAACGGCAACTAGAGCTTTGGAGAATAGCTTTTGAATGTAACAAAATAAATGGTTTGACAGTTAGAAGAGAACAGGGACCTGCTCTTCCCAAAAGGTAAAGAGAGCGACAACTTTCCGCCTTTAACTGGTTCTGCTTAATTAGCGTTGCGGAAATTTTTTGAAAAAAAAGGTTGCAAAATTTGGATTTTGTCAGATAAAACAAATTTTGATAATAAAACCCACTTTTTATTTCCACAAATATTGGAAGATTAGAGAATAAGCATTTGCGCCCAATTTGAATAAATTTTGTAGGTGGGCAGCGGACAATTCAATTTATTTTTAACTTTTCTGTAAACGTTAATGCAAAAGTGAAATTCAAGAATGCGAATTATTTAGCCTTCGACGAAATCCACATTACAATTATATTTATTTAAAACCTAGAAGTCAAAACCCTTATACGGACTCATGCTTAGCAACCCACTTCATTTGTATTTTATAAATTTTATTTTTAAAATTTGATATAGAGGGGCTTTATGTGTTACAAAACTGAGTGCCTATGTATATTCCACTAGCATCATTTTGAATTTAAAGGCTAGAAAATAAAGTGAAAAAAGGCGAGAAATACGGACGTGTGGAAAGGAGGTATTTGAAAATAGTCTCACGGAATGTAGGAGAGGGACTACAATTTAATCGTTGGCATCATCGGTGCACTCATTTACTGACCTCTCGGACACAGAGAGCATCCCCACTGATCACGACGTCAACCGTGCCAAGCAAACGCCACAAGCGGGGCCAAACTCTGGCCCTGTCATCCATTGCACAGCATTTTCATGCAAGACACGCAATTATGTTGGCGGTAATTTGTCGTTCCCGAGCCTGCCACACAACTCTCTAGGTTTAGTTAGTCAAGTATCCTTGCATTTATCTTGTCAGCAGGTAGTGAAAATGGTGGGGAAAGGGAGAATAAGTTGTAAAAGATAGAGAGGAACAGCTTTTTGATGTATTGGAGCATTTTAGATAGGTGAATACCCACTGCTAGAACAAAGCTCTTCGTATGACGCCGAAGTGAAAAGGTTCAGCTGCAATTCTTACAGTGTAACCGGTAGAGAGTACCCTTAACATCTAACCAGAAAGAAAACCACGGGTACAGATGGAAGCACGGCTAATTTGACTCACAAGAGCCAAAGAATAGCCAGAGAGGTCTGAAGGTTGGTAAAAAAAATTCATACACCTCTTAGTCTACAAGGCCACACGCATACACCGTTGGTGAAGACGAAACAGTAAAAAGGCTATTAGGACAGTGAGAAAATCGCATTTTTTATCACCAGAAAAGCTAAAAAATTGTCCAAGGACTATAAAGTTGAAAAACGTACTGAATATCATTCCGAAACAGTGGCCAACAAAGATCGTCAAAGGACCTGCTATTTCGTAACCTCTTTTCACCGACGCCGTATACGAAAACACAATACATTTTCAAACATCTAATGTGAACTTAAAGAGAAAAAAACCTTCTTTGAAACATAATGACCTATTAACTACTTGGCTGTGCATTTAAGTGCTCGAGTTTTTCAGTCTCCGCAGTTTGTACAACCGTCAAGCAGAATGCCCGGAGGGCCATTTCTGAGGTATCCAAGATCATTTGCACATCAAGAGGAAACTGCTTCTCACTTTATAAGTTGATGCTCCTCTAGCTATATCCTTTGCTTCAAATGCTCAAATTCTTGAAGAAAGTTTGTTTTAATAGGAGGATCATTGGAGGTTGGCACAACTTCAGACACTCATTTCATGCTCGCCGGTTTTTCCTCCCCAAATAGTAAATGAATATTATTGCACCAGTCCGGTGAAACACTGCGGCATATTGAGATTTACTTTTGGGTGGCTCCTTTAGTTTCTTACAATCTTGTCTGTGGTTTGGCTTCCGCGTTACACTGAGGTCAGGCGAGTACGCATTCTCAGGCCACTCCACAAAGAAAACTACTTGCCACACGAAAGTGTGGCATGCGACACCGTCAAACACCGTTAAACACAAAAAGAACCCAGTAAATTTTAGATTTTAAGTTGACTGAGTTCAGATCCAAAGTAAAATTGGGATTTTCTATGGAGGAGAAAATCGTGACTTTCCATTTTAAATATCACACACTTGCACCATGCTGATCAAATAAGCATTTTTCGATGGAACACAAAATTCCCCCAAAAAACAGGGAAATAACAACCACTTAGTATCTCTTTTTCAAGTCATGCTAAGTAAGTTCTTTAATAAAATAGGGTTATATGGTTAAAGACAGAAGGTAATTTGGAATTCATATTTCGGATCTAACGTTATCCTCTTAGATAGGGGTACGTGGACTTATCCGCCACAGACACTAAAGTTATGATTAAAAACATATTCTTTTTTCGGAGTGCAAAGGGAAGAGAGGTTTCTTCCTCGTTTATCTGTAGGTTTTGAGCATCCCTTCCTAAATAAGTGTTTAGAAAATGAGGAGGCTCTGCAACAGTCCTAGTGCATTTAATTTTAACTACTACTTTCCGGAGCAGTATAACTTGCAAAGGGTCTACGTGGGTCGCCGGAGGTTTCGGACAAGAAACGCATTTCCTTGACTTCATGACTATTTCCCTACATTTGACAGTCCACTGCAGTCTACACGTTTGTATTAAATCCCTAGTAATCACTAGGAGGTAGTAGATTTACACTTTGAGCGCAATTTTTTTATCAAATTAGCAGAAAAAAAAATTTTTTTGTCATAATTACCTTATACGATCGACAGCATAGCGTTTTTAACTAATGTAGCACAAAGTAGCTCCGAATGGCTGATGGTAAAGCAAAATTACCGTTGCCCATTAACATGGACAACCTTCGCTCAAAGTTCAACCACCTACGTGACTGCCGGGGTCCGATGTGCATTTGGCTTTTTGCAAAAGAAATGAAAATTTCCAAAGAAAATCGTAAATGTTCCCATCTATTATTGGCCGATCACCTTACAGGCAGTATTCGAGTGATACATCGCGCTGCTTGTCGGAGAGCACCCGACCTCAGTCCCCACACACTACTGGCCTTTGCTCTTTAGGCTCCACAAATGGTACTTAACCGTGCCTTTAGTTTTTTGTGACCAAATAATGTTTAATTATTTGTTTGGGGATTTTCGTGGCAAAAAGGGCTTCAAAATCTGGCAGCTACATTTCAAAACACAGTTGCAACCGACCGACCACAATTAAGGGTGAAGTAAGTTTGAAGTTGCCGCTTTAAAGTAGATGGCCATTTAATTATTCCAAAATCTGCGAAAACTATTACTCCAAAACATTTCTGATGATCTGTAGTTAAAAAGTCACTTGGAGAAAGATTCCATCTGAGCAGCTCTTAAATATACTCCAGAGCAAAGCATTTCTTTCCAAAGCGTTCGGTAGGTAACCATTTAAACAAGTAACTTGACAGGGTTACTTAGTGTTTCAAAACATTTAAAATAAAAACAGTTCAATGTGTACTTTTAGAAATTTTTTAATTAAAATAGTCTGCACAATCCAACAGTTGCGCCTCGGGTGCGCATCATTTGTGCCATGCGTGAACCCCCAGTCTGGGCTAATGTCTGCGTAAATTAAATTGAAACGAAAGTTCCATCAGTAATTAAAAGTGACAAAGCTGCGATTAGTGGTCCCGATTGCCTACATTCTTAATATTTTAGAAGAAAATAGACCAAATTAAAAAAATTATTTTGCTGATGGTGACAAGTGCTATTTGTTTCAGTTGGCTTCTCTCGGGTTTCTTGGCATACAGGGCGCCATGTATATTTGTGATCTGGTTCTATTCAGGCCCTGACACCTTCCAACGATTCTTGATAATACTTGGGAGACATAGAGTAACATTTGATATTTCTTCCACTACTTCTATGCGCTAACTTATCTCCCTGTCTGAATTCATCCGCCAACTTATTTGAATTTGCCTTTTATTAAAGCTAAGCCTAGTTATTTTCTTACATTTTTTTACCGTAAATGCCATATTCGGTTGATCAACACAGCAGACCACGTGGTAGACCAGACTGCGGTCGGTCTTGCAGCTATAGCGTGGCAATTACTGTCACAACGTTGACGGCAATTACTGGTGTATTTTTGTGCCTTTTTCTCCTGGATAAGGAAAAATTTTTTGACACTCCTTTAAGCTTTTGCCCACCCAAAACAAATAAATTTGAAATGATGGGTAAAAATTGCTTCAGCTAATCAAGAAGTTGAGACTAAGCGAGGCAAAAGATAATTTTGTGAGCATATAATGATGAATTGACATGGTAGATTTTAAAAAGTGAAGCTGACGTTCACATTCAAAGCGTCAGCTGTAGACATATGCAAACTGACAATGCAAAATTTCCTTTCTTTTTTCGAAATGACAGACACAGTGTAGTTATCTTAGTAGACAATTCTTTTCTACCGCAATTTATGCGGGGCTAAACTTCTACCCATTGACTCTTGAAAAGAATTACCAAAGAGTAACCTTTCAGCAATAAATGATAAATAAAAAGAATCCGCCTTTAAGCGCAAAAAGCAGAAATTAATTGCTCAATTTTAAGACCACAAAAACAGGTTTTTGTGAAGTCTAGCCAACTTAATTGCGGACTTCATGAAATTAGCTTTGCCAGTAAGACGGGACTAGCACTGACAGGTCAGAGGTCTGAAGTTACCCCACTAGTAACAGCTAACTGTTAGTTTGAAGGCAAATGCCTCGTCTGAAGTCCACTTGCGATTATTCCGCCATCATTCCTTCAGGCCCGTGCTTTCGAGGATCGAGGTAGGCTGACTCCATCCAGGATCGAGTTGCTTACTCATTACCGTCTGGCTTATGGTGAAAAATTTTGATGTAGTTTTTACAAAACAACCTGCATATCTACGTTTTCTTTGAAAGGAATGGGAACGGAAGGAAAAGATAAATGTCATAGTCGTCTGACAAGACAATCGCTGGGTCACTTTGGCATGGCAGTTAGGATTGTGGGATAAACTTATGCCTTGTGCTCTCCCACAGATTGGGCACCACGAGTTGAATGTTTGTTGGAAGGGCAAATTCATTCCTCTCTTGGAGAAGAAACGAAAGTGGGATTACTTTGCACGGTATGGAAAAGTAGTATTAGAAGATACCACAGGATGGCCCAGTACAAGCATTAACCCTACTTGGGCTCTGTTTCATGATGTCTATTGAGATAGCAAAATTTATGTTCAAAACTCAAAGACTATACCCAAAAAAGACCTAACTTATTTCCAAGGAATTGAATAAGAGAATTAGAGGCATTTCAGCCATCCCTCTGATATGTTGTGGATGAACGGTATTGAAGTCTATCCCTTCTGGTCGTCCACGGTACCTGAACACAACAAGTTGTTTATATTTATAACCGGCAATCCTTACACAGCAATAAACCAAAACGTATTATAAAACAGATATGATTTTTCTACCTCCTTACTAGGATGAACTTATGACACTTTGACAGTGAAAGCCCTAGGACAGGGCCAAAACAATGGAGAGTAAACGCTACCATCGTCAACATTGTCGTCGTTACTTTAGGCTAGCTACCCGTGGAAGTAAACTCTTACTTCCAAGCATTATGAAGTATCTATAGAAGAACTCAAAAAAATCTCACCATTAGAATTCACTAAAGCCACGTAAGTCCATCCATATCTCTTCAAAAGGGAAACAATAACCTCAACCTGCAAGTCGTCTGATGGCACGACTCGCAGAAAGTACTGATACTCCGCGATGTTACTTAATTCCGCGGCAGTAGCTGAGTAGCCAATTTGGGGAATGGAGAACAGCTGCAGCACTTGATGTACCTGTTTGGTCATCTCACTCGAACCAGGTCCAATCAACGCGGCAATCGGTATCTCGATACTACTGGGTGATACGCCAGGCGGTAGACACTTCCCATTCGATCCATTTGTCATTTGTAGACAGTCTTCGTACTCTCGGTAGATAAATGCAGTTCGAATAAAGTCCATGCACTGTTCCAGGGCTATTGGAGCATACCAACAGGTGTCTCGAGCGTCCACTCCTAGACGAATCCTCGGGAGGATGTTCTCATTCTCATTGATCATCTGAATGGTTCGGATGAGGGTTTCTATTCTATGGATTCCATACTGTTCTCGCACGTTGCCACATTGTCTAGAGAAGGCTGTTTCCACTGTCGGTTGTTCGTGGATAGGAAAAAGTGCACCAATCATGATGTCACCGGGAATTCTGACCTTGAGTTTATGGTAGAGAACCCCATAGGGGGCCATTTGGAGTTCACTGACGGTAACGAGGAGGACGATCCATATCCATCGGGCTAGACCCATTAGCTAGAAAATTTGGCCTCCTTTTTGCGTGCAAGCTAAGTGTGATGGTGGTACACTTGGCTTTCAACGTGCCGCAATCCGGCCACGGCCACTTAGTGATTCCGAGCGGGCTGATTGGTGGATTGAGGGACAAACCCGAAGGCGATTGGACGGATAGCAGAGTGTGGTAAGAAACTTCAGACTGCGGATCGAGTATGCATCAGTAATGAGTTTGAAATCTCCGTCATCACTTTTCTCCTAATTTACCTTAAAAAAGGTGAACAAACATCCTGACGGGTGGTACCTTAAAACTGACAATGTTCCATTTTTTCAGTAAATACCGATTTGTCCTGAAAACTAATATCTCAGAAGTGGATAAAATATTAATACTTAACTTATAAATGAATTTTAATAGTGTTTATGAATAAATAAATAATTTCATTGTCCTTATTCTTTAGCCAAAAGTGTTTTTTCTTGCTTAAATCAGTTGTTATTATTCACGTCGGTCTCTATGTATACTGATATAGGCAGAAAAAGGCGATTTTTATGGTTCATTTTCATAACGTATCACTTAGTTATAATAAAAAGCCTTCTTTGGAAAAAAAATGCTCTCTGGACAAGACACTTTTGAATATGTAAGGTGTTTTTCCTTCATAAAAGTATCGGGCAACCAAGTGATCGCCCGATTTCCTGCAATAAAAGAATAGCTCAAAAGGTTGATTAGGTCAAATGTTTGCTTTATAAGTCACGTCAGAGAGGACTAAAACAACTTTAGACTTTCATCTTGACTTACTTAAGAGGTGAGTACTTTCCTATTCTAATCAGAAGTAGACAGCGATGCACCACTGAGGCAACTGAACGGGGAAGTAAAACCATTTTCGAGTGGAATGCTGAATGACCACGCGCTGTGTACTTTTTAAGCGTCCCACTGGAGATTGGGCAAACAGTTTCTGTAGCTGCGATCTTCGTTGGGCAGAGAAGTCTGATTCACCTCCACCAGCCATCCATATGACGAGAGGATTCAAAGTAACTCGAGGACGGAGGAGGGCACAATAGGGAGATGAGTCGCAGTAGAATGTATTTTATGGGTTCCTAGAAGTCACAAGACTCGGTGTTGTAAACCACACTTAAATTCGGCAAGAGTCTTCTAGTCTGTTGTTGTCATGACCCAATCAACTTGCAATTTGGCCTTGAAGATTTCAAGCATTAAGTTAGAGGCTACTTAATAAAGCTCAAAAGTGTGCGTCTGATTGCTTAATTTAGGAGTGTTTTACTCAATAAGTTCTTTTCAAGTAAGGTGAAACATAGATAGGCCCCCCTTTTAATAGCACAGTGGTAAATGCTAAATTATTTGCCTCTTAACCCCTCATCGGACACAGGCATTGGGGAGTGATTACAACAGACCTGATGCTAATTGCTTCAGCTACCTGGCTTTTAATCGGAAAAATAATCTCCGTAGTGGAGGACCATGACTTTACTAGTGTATGAAACTCATAATTCACAAGATCATCACCACTTTGTGATCCGACCAGACCATTAGTGAAACGCTGATTCACGTCGCAGTAATTCAAACGCATTGCCCTTTCTAAAAGTGGGAAAGAACTTGAAGGCAAGTTTAAATCAGGTAATTTTTATCACCCATTTCCATGAGCACAACTTAGTGGTGATTTGATGTATAAAGTAGACGGGGAAAATTCGTGGTGGTTAAATATTTAAAAAGTGGAGGCAAAGTTGCTTAAACAAGTGGACCGCGCTTTTGGAACTTAAGTGTCTCAGGTGAATTTATGGGTGAAAATCCATTAACAGGCAAGAAAAACTCTACACCCAAATGTCTACTCGTAAAGTTTATCTGATCTTCGTGTCAAACGCTTAAGAGTTACAAACCGAAAATACAATCATCGTTAAACGCCTGTTTCGGGGCAATTTTTCCAGCTAATCCCAAAAGACATACTAAATGCACTGGCTACAGAGCGTTGGCTCATCTTGAGCTGCACAAGACAAGCGAACCCCCTCAATGCAGTTCACAGCGGAGGTGAAGGCCTGGATCACTCCCAAATCCGCTAAAGGCATGACCGAATTCGGGACCAAAAGGATTAAATTTTGATGTTGGACTTAGAGAGCCAAACACTGGAAGCCCAGAGTACGAAAACAGAGCGGGTGAGCTATGACACAGCGCGACATTCTTCTGCTAGCCACCACTTTGATGCCATGGCACAGCGTCCACGTCATCTCTCCGCACATTTAGACCATAACATTCTACAACCTCTTTGGGAGTGTACAGAGAGTTTACCTACCTTCCAAAAATGGTTCAACAATAATCTCTCACAAAACCTCAGACATTTTCAGGGCAATTCTATTTGGTTCACGACACAAACAAAGCAGTTGGGATTTAACAATGAGCTGTAAAGATACTCTAATTATGTTTGCAGACTGGAATTGTTAAAACAGATCATAGATTTGATAAAAAACTTGCGCCAGTAATACAAATTCACCAGGCATTATTTTAAATAACACTTGTTTCCACTTTTATGCCTAACAAATAACTAAGAAGTTGAGAGCACAAATTTTAAGATTTTTATTAAAACATTTCAAAAAAACTCCTGCGAAATAAGTCATATTTTGGGGCGACTTTCTCGGTATGAGATCTTTAATTGATGAGTTCATTCCAGATCACTAAAACTGCGATTTCGATGGTGAATACAATATTAATGATGACAACCGCGAAGCAGCTAGTAAATGCTAAAGTCATTTTTAAAAACATGATTTTATTTAAAAGGACTATTTGCGCCAACTAATTTGTTATTTTAAATGGCGAAATGTAAAAGCTGGAAAATACCGTTTCAAAACGATTTCTTAAATATGCAGGAGGCTGTTGAATTTTCGTGCTAATATGTGCATAGGATCGTAGAAGGCGGGTAGTGATGGTAAATGGGTTCGGTAATGGGAAAGACAGTAAAAATCCAAACTGTAAGTCAACTATTCAGTGGTGGAATACCTACCCCAGTGAAAGAGTATCCGGAGCTGCTGTCATTTTACCTTCCTTTAGACGTTTTCCAACAATTCATCTAAAAAAAGCAATGAAGGTTAAGAGTTCTCCTTTAAAGGGGATTTCTTGATAACTGTGTTACTGTATAGAACAAATAGCCGCATAGAAGAAACTCACTCCATCCCGAGTTATGCAGGAAGGAGCTGCGCTTACTGTAAACACATGGAACCGGAGGCAGGGGTGGCAAGAATTCGCTTTTGGTTGAACCGTAGGAGCCAAAGCCAAACCCGCTTTCTAGTGATTCAGTGTATTCACTGTCTCGCAGTTTAAGTGTCTGGTGCTACTGCCCGAAACTAAGGCAAACTTCATCAACCTATGTTTTGTCCATTCGTCAATACCACATCCAATGGCCGGTTCGTGCACTGATCCTCTTTTTAATCCTACGTGAGCATTTTAAGCTTCCTTCCAGTGAACATATTTTATTTGCTATTTTAAAAGCCAGTGGGATTAGAATAAATGCTGTTTTGGACATTTGTGGGAGAACTTGGATAAACAAGTAAATGGTCTATCTAACAAAAAAATATGCGACTTAGCAAAACAATTGACCGACAAATAGCAAGCTTCCGACATTTAAAGACATTTCAACTTAAAAGGGAAGGGAATTAAACGTCCTCTGGCACTTTGTCGTCGCAGAAGTCGTTACAAGGCGCGCCAGTCTAAAATCAAGACTTATTGTTGACGCAATAAATGGCTGAGGCTGTAGCCTCAGCCAGATTGGCATGTCACCAAGACCTGGTGCAGGTTCTAGCCCCAGCGCTGTTCCCGCGGTTGCCTTTGAACATGCAGCTGTTTCGGTCATCTAAACGTTGCTGGTGTTGTCAACCCGACAACAAGTCACCAGGGCTTGTTATTACACATCCACAGAGGTCCAACGCACTTGGCCTTAAAGCCAGCATTGCATATTGTCCAACCCACTCCATTTTATTCGAAATATCGTCACATCAGGTACCTGTATTAAGGAAGGGGAATTTACTGGATTCTCACAACTCCACTATCAACAAACACACTTTAGGTGAAAAAATAATCCTTTCTCATCATTCCGTTCTCATCGCAGTGCTGTTTAGCAGCCCTTCACTCAGCGCTTAGGTCTGGTGTTGCCTCAGTTGTTCCTTTTAATCCAGTCCACTAGCCGCTACTGCCGAGTTAGCTTTCTGAGCCTTTAGTGGAGCCGGAATAAGGCATTCCAATAGAATGATTCGCTTCTGGTTGAAGATTCTGATATGACCAGAAGGCAATGCCACCAGTTTAGAAGTGGTGAAGTATCAGATAGTCAAATATAATCAAACATTTGATCACGTCCTACAGATGACATCTAGTCGAAGAAACACTGATTGAATTTTCTGACTCACAAATTATGCTTTATTTCTGGATTAAAAATTTCGTTAACAGTCTAAATCCCCTGGATCTCCATTTACTTCCTCCGTGGAGAACGATGGGGTTCCCTATGTGGCGAGTTTAGTCTACTATGGTCTCTTGCCGCCTAAGATGCGTATTTAAACAAGTTATTTAGTATAAAATCTAGTACCGAGTCAAGCAAAAGTCAGTAACCCCTAAAAGTGATCGAAACATGCAGAACACTTGATTGATATCCACGGCATCATTAAGAAGGCAGGTTCATGTTATTTCTACGATTAGTGTACTAGTTAATGCTCACTTTGTTTGACTGAAAACGCATTTTCTTAATATGTCTTTTAAATGGCAGGGGTTAGATTACGCCGCCCATCCCCTCCTTACCGAAGAAATCGTTACTTTCATTTTACGTGACAAGAGTCATCTCACTTCCAAATTACTTGGTTTGCAATACAAAGCTACGTACATAAATAATTAGAGTTCAACAAAATAAAATACACCCCTGTAAGGGTACACCACTGGATAAATGTGAAGAGGACAAGGAAAAATCGCATTGAAAATGGCGTTTGAAGGAAAGAAGCTCCGGAGACAGCACCAAACAAAGGGCCTAAAACGACGAAGGCTCTATATGAGGCAAGATTCTGTGGATAGACCTATTAGGTACAGCAGTTCACTAATTTTTGACCACTAAATGGGGCGCTTTTTTTCTCTGAAGCATGTTAAATGGTCTAGTTCGATGACTGTTAACAAAATTTAACTGGCCCAAGTTAATTGGTTTTGTCATTATTTAAATCAACCCTTTAAGTTAAATGATGTTTAAATTATGTTACGAGAAAGTGATATTTTAACTTTTTGACATATTCAACACTTAAATATTTGAACTCTGAAATGAGACTGTAAAGTATTCCATCTTGAAGAGTTTATCCTCCTTGATGTTCTGACAGGAATCGTGCCAGTATTCGTGCTCAAATATAAGTAGTTCCTACCGGACTCGCTATTTCACGGAGTGGCCCAATCGCCCAGGTTGTTTCTTGGCCTAATAGTATTTTGTAAGGAAATGTTAAAACTATGTGATAAAACCCCTCCAAGAAGTTGGTTTCTAAACCCTAAGCCTAGGGCAGCCCTCACAATTCGACCTTTAGCATTCACAATCACCTTCCTTGTATTCACTTTACCCAGCTTGGCGACGTCTTCAACTTCCACTGTTGTTAGAATTTGATTGACTGGTGCATACCTTTGTTACCCACATCAGTGTTAACCTTTTTTCCTCTCCTAATTTTTGAGTTTCAGCCCCTGCTCATCTGGCCAATTTCACGACACCTTAGGTACTCAGTTAAGATGGTGGTGGTAATTTTGGAGGAGGGTAAATAATGCTTCTGACCTCCCGTAGAATAAGCTTCCAATCCAAAATCATTTTACTACAATTTTTTCATTTAGATTTAAAACTTCTTTAAAAATTTGGATTTCATTAAGGTAAAGTGAAAGCAGGAAAGGCAAAGTGTCTTATAACTTCCCTCCACCACTGGCATTTCTTTGGGGCATCAACCGGTTCTACACTGGAATTGTGAGCAGAAAGACTACCGAGAGCAACTCTAAAGCTAAGAATCTCTCATGCAGTCGTCTTATAATGCCTTGGGAGTTCGGAATTGGGGATAGAGTGCTGGCTTCGGCGATTATCCATCGACTATTGTTTCCTTGCTCCAGATTCATTAGCACCATGATGAACAAGAGTGTTGGTAAAAAAGGGTGCTTTTTTATTCCCTCTGTATTTCGGGGAAATTTTTAAGAATTTCCTCAGATAAATATCAGTGCCGTGGGCGTTTTGTAGACATGCTTACCGATTGGGCGTTGTGCGAAACACTTCAGTCATTTAAAAGTACACATATGCAAGTACTTTAGAAAAACTTGTTCAACAAAAATAGCTGAAGGACGTTAAATGTAATTGTCAGTAAATACGCAAGGTATCCGGAGTGCTAAGTGGATCGTTTGGAGTGATGCCTCGTCATTACAAGTAAATAGGACTTTTCTGACGCCTTCAAACATAGCAAAACGGATTCGTGACGTAGATGAGCCAGAATCACACTTATTGGGTCCAACTCATTATTTATGATACGAGGGCGTCAGTAAAGGGTACCATGCCAGTGACACAATGGCGCATGCAGGTCAGGTTTGCCAAAAATTGGCAACCTTATTGGCCATCCAGCAGAGCCTGCCAGCTCTACTTTCGCCACTTGAGGAGCTAATGGCCTTTCTCAATGCACCATTAACTGCTTACTTCCATTCTTTAAGCAACATCAGTTGAGAGCAGAGTGAATTAACGGTTTAGTGCCCCCGTGGACAGCAAATTCTGTCTTTTACCGGCATAAAAACAAGGAACCTACACCTAGATACCACTTAGGTTAGTTAAGGAGGATCGTTCCGCATTTTCTTAATAATATAACCCACTTTTTATTCGTTCATTAACAGTCTTATTTAAAATGACGGTTTTATTTTTCTGCCTCTGCCATTCACTTTAGAAAAAGGCTTCCCTGCTTATCAAAAATGATTCGAGAAAGTTAAACTGCAGTTTCCTTCAAATTTTCTGCTGAAACCCCCTCTAAACACAAACAATTTTTCCTTTGGTACATACGCTATTGACCAAAACTAATTTTGCAACAGAGGTGCTTCGATTTTAAAAACTAATTGGCCGTCAATCATGGCCTCTTACGGAAGGCCTTCAAAAAGCTAGCAACAGGACCAGGAAACTGTAGGCGCCAAAGATAGGCCCTACTGCCACGCGGAAGTACAAACAGCGTAGGTGTCGCACTTCCTAGATTTGCATTTCTGTAACAGAGCAAAACTTCGTACGACATTTGGAAGATGGGCTTAAGAATCTGGTTATACCACACGATTCATCATCGAACAAAATTTGCTTGGGTGTCTTCCATCCTATTTCAGTATGGAAAGGAGGTTTCTAAAACTCACTGAGGCCCTAAAGCTTGAAAAATTTTTTCAAAATCCATTTGCACATCCGGTCCGTAGGTATTCATATCTCTCCATAAAATAAAAAGAAGTTTTATTACTGACGTGCAGCAGGACCGGGAAATTGTAGGCGCCAAAGGCAAGCCCTCCTGCCAGGTGGAAGTACAAACTGTGTAGGTAGAAGTATATTTAAAAAAAATAGTCAAATGTTGCGTACTACCTGGTAATCATGAAGAGTACTAAAGTCAATTTCTAAGTACTTCTGGTGTTTTTGCCCTTTAATACCCAAATCAGCTACCGGGCATTTCGATTGTTAATAAATCAGATTTGTTGCTCATCGAAGCCATTTGGAGAAGGCTAGCAACAAGGCAGGCCTCAGACAGGTTTTAACTTTCAGTGCGAGTAACCGCAATAACCACCATCCGTGTCTTGAGAAGGAGCGGTTGACACTTATAATGACGTGAGAGGATCAAGTTACCATGGTATAGCAGAGACCACATTATTAAACACCTTGTGCTTTAAGATTAAAAGCGCTGCAAAATAAAAAATTTTAGCTTTCTTGTTAAAATTGCTGCCAAAATAAAATATCAGAATTACGAAAGTTTAGGAAATAATTTCCGAATTACATTACCGTTCATGAAAAGCCGGAATTTTAGTTTTACAAACGAAACTGAAAGAAAAAAGTCAATACCTGGGGAGGAGATTCAGCACAGATATGTCAGCACGGCTGAACCACCCTGAGGCATTGTGGTTCAAATTATCGTTAACCTTAAAAACTTATTTATTTAGGCTAACTACTCAAAACCGAAATTATTCCCTATTCTCTACACCGTTGGCAAAACCAGACAAATTTGAGCGCTAGCCTCACGTCAGTTTCACGTCCAGCAATGAGAACGTTGTGCTGTGAACCACGAATCACCATGGTCTGGATCGTCAATAGCAGGCGAACGGATGGCTGTCTCAGTAGCCTTTGTCCGATTACTGAGCCTCGAAATGTCTCCGAATCGCACAAACTATGCATGAAGTCTTCTGCGCAGGCTCGCATCGCATGCCTTCGTTCCCATTTTCATGATTAATTGTCCGGACCAGGCTGGTCTACGACGCATGCACCGACCACTGGGGCCTGTAATGCAGCCATAAGTGAAAGCTTCTTCATAGCTTTCAAATTAAGAGGAAGAGTTCCATGTCAACGCCTTATGTATTGCAATTCGAATATCTTTCGTGACCAGCACAAAATTTTGGTAGTGCATTTAAAATGTCTTCCATTTAGGAAATAGAAATCTCAATCCCTAAAATACGTGGTAAGCATAAAATAATAACAACAAAATATATTTTGCTGCAGTTCCTTTTCTTGGCTATAAGTTGGCAGTAATGGGATAATTTCGCAGCTCTGGGGACAGGGCATACAGTAAATAGCTTCTCCCTACGCCATGGGCAATTCTAAATCTAAATTAATTAGGGCTAGGGGTTCATGAGGGTAGGGCGACTTCCTTATCCACCCACTCAGCCCAGCTTAAAAGGAGGCCACCAGAATAGTCCACATGATGTGGTGATTTAGACGGACACAAAAGTTCTCTGTCTTAAAGGCTGTCCCCACCGCTTTGCAAGCCAACCCAAATGGGCGTTACTCATTTCGGTTAGCTTTTATCTTAAAGAATGTCTGTGTGCGGAAGCAGATAACACTGCCCAGAAATGGCTTCCGGAACTGGAAATGTCAGGAATAACTTTCAACAGTATTGAACATGGCTTGTGCAGCCACCTGTTTGCCAGCCTATCATCTGGTGAGGAGGAGTTGGAATAGCTGACCAAATTAATCCCAATCACATATTATCCATAAATAGATGATGATAGGGTTAATAAATAATCACCTTTTTGTCAAAAAATTGGGGCTGGGAAGGATTTGTCACCTGGATAATGCCTCTGGTGATGTGATGGGAATGAGCATGTCGCCAATCAGCCTCTATCTATCTCATACCTCTAAAACAGGCATCACTTCATCCCCAGAAGACTCCTAATGTTGTTTAATATATGTGAAAAGTCAGTAATTGGGACAAAAGCCTTGCCTCGTACCACGAAAAGTATCTGTAAGAAAATCTTAAGGCCAGGACAGGAAATGCTCCTCCATCCTTCTTACTTCCTTGCTGATATCCCCTTTAGTGATGACTATCACCTTCCCTTGGTGATAAAATATAGAATATAATCAACAACTGGAAATAAAATTGGTAAGACTGAATTGTTTGCTTCTGGAAATCAAATGTTTTGTGTGAGTAGACTTTACAGGATCGTGAAGTCCCCAACGCCTTCCTCGGTTCACATCCCGCTTTGGCCACCACAACGCAATTGGTGCTGTAGGAAAGACATTTACGAACTAATCAGCCACATCAGTCACTAAATTTGTGTGGAAGTGAGAGGATATTTGGCTGAAACGTTATTAGTCTTTCTTGGCAATTCCGCTAGATCTAAAGCATCATCCTGTTAAGGAAGTGTATTAGAGAAAGAGGAACGTTGTGATCATCTTGTGTGACTTAACAGCAAAGTCGTTTAGTAAAAGACGGTGCTAAAAATAGTTATGTGGAGAAAAGTTTTATTGCCTGGTTCTATGTACCACGCTGTTTTTACTACCAAGCTGCCCTGTCATGCCTATCAGAGTTCCATCCAGCCAGTAGAGAGGTGGGAGGTATTTTGTGTGCTCACCTTGTCGATATCTTCATAAGGATATCACGGGCTGCTCCAAGGGCACTTCCCGGATGATACACGGCCAGAGTCACTTCATTTGTTAATGGCTTTCCTTTAGAACACGGGACAAGGGTAGATGTCATTTCCAACACTTCTATTAAGAGTTGCCACCGATCCTTCCATTCGTAGCGTAACCTTTTTCCTTCGCTTTAAGGTTTAGCATTCAGTAATAAAAACCAAAGCAGATGTCCTTTCCGCTGCCACCGATACAGAGCCTCGAGACTTCCCGTAAGACAAAAGAAATTATAATACTGGCACAGAAAATGTGTTAGTAACGTGCAGAAGGATTGGAGGGCTACACTGACAGCTCGAAAGCCACGCTAAGTAATAGAATTTCAATGGTGAATCCATTGGTGCCCACGTAACCAAAACGAATAAATAAACCATTGGTCGATGCATTGCAATTAGCGATGAAGTAATTTAATCAGCATTTTTAAAAAAAGGGTTGTTTGCTTTAGCTGCCTCTGCAGTGATTGGTTTGTATTAGTAACAAAGGATTCTTGCAAAACGCCCGTTTAAAGAGAAGTCAAAGGCTTCAAGCAAAACTGCTGTCGAATTAAAGTGCTGCTGTCCGGCTCGCTAAATGGCTGTGATGCCGCAATGCATGTGGTGAAGAGAGCTTCAGAACCATTAAGCGTGACTAGAATGACTGTTTGACAGGACTGGGAATACGTCTAATCCACCCGTGAAGCCGAGTTTTCCTAGTTGTATAGTTGCTCCGTGCGCATGCATTCTTCATTCTCCGCGAATCGACGTGTTTTGGCAATCTGCCCACACCTTTATTCTTCCCTTTTACATATCATTTCACCTTATAACGTCGTCAAAGGAGACTTGAAGACTAACTTCAGCTTCAGTGGAAAGTAAATCCGGTTCAAAAAACCAAATCCTAACTATGGAAGCTTGATGTAGACACTGTTCGTCAGGAAAGAAGGTATCCACTGTGAATGACTGATTCTGTGGAGTTTGGCAAGGAGAAGGTCATAGAACCCAGATATGAGATAGGTAACACCCCCAGTAAGAAAAAAGAAACCTAATACGAACAAATTAAGGCAACTTTTTGTAACCTTTTTGAACAGTGGACGCACCGATTTATCACCTAAACTGAGGTCAACTCCTCCTCTTTCCACTGCTGCGCCAGCTGTAGTATGTCATTCGAATTTCAAACACTTCTAATCAAATTAGTCTCTCATTCTTGTTGACCACCTGACAAAGAATGCCGCATCCTAGAATTCCCTAATTAATATAAAATATGCCAACTCTGCTTACTGCAAACTTGCAGCATCAATTTTGACCCTGCCTCATTACTGGGTAAAATATCAGACTTCTGGAGCTGAGGCGGAAGCGTGACCATGCAGTTATGCAGAGCCTCCACAATCTCTCTGCTGCAGTCAGTTACTTTTCAGGCCAGGTAATCACATCACCCCCACTGTAGGCACTACTTAATCAATGTAAGCGTTATCCCCCTTGCAAAGGAAGAAGGCGCAAAAAGGACGGTAGGGAT